TCCAGTGGGTGGGAGCTCATTTTGGTTGTTATCAAGCAGGGTAATCATTCAACACATTCAACACTGACTGAACTAGCCAGTCATCCTAAAGATGTCTTTCTTTCTAGGGTGTAAATTTTTTAAAAGCAGTGTCTTTTGCAATGGTGCATTCTGTTTTTTATTTCGTGATCAGGATAAAAATATGTGTGACCTTGGTAGAATAAAAAAAAAAAGTATAAGAACAAATTCCATTGCATAAAAGTACATCTGAAAAGTTAAATAAAAAATCCTTTCCTGGAGATTAAGTTTGCTGCCTTTCTCCTCCCTTTTAAACATACTCTTTACATGATGCTTAAGCTTTCAAGTCAAAGTTACGAGGTACTTTAGCCAGGCTTGAGCCTGAGAACAAGACCCAAACCAGGACAATAACAAAATGACACAAAGATTGACTTCACCGTGCTTGCTGGATGAAGTGAAAACTGCTGAAATATAAATCCTATATCCTGGGATTTCACTGCCTGCTGGAACTAATCTCATTAACTTAAAACCACCTGAGGCTTAAGAGACATATACACTGCTGTGAGAAATTATATTTATCTCATCCTAGGGGGAAATCCTTTCCCTCCCCCAGCTTACCTTACTTTTGACTTTGTCATTCTTGAATTACCAGGTCATTTCTCCCCCATGGGAAAGTCGTCATAGCTCACAGCAATGCAATTACTGTATCTGAAGTTCACTGCTGTATGAATGCTGAGATCACTGTTTGAGGTTTTTCTTAAATAATTTCCTAAAGAAAACAAAGACTGGAAAAATAATAGGTTAGCAGTTTACTTAAATAAAGTTCCTCCAGAGCTACAGGAAAGGATACCAGAATTAAAAACACACCGTAAGGAAAACAGCTTACTGCAAACATTTGGGTGTTTATTGCCTTTGTAAACCAAACACTGAGTTTTCTTTAACCATTAAAGTTTAAGAGATTGGTGGCCTCTGATAACTGGTAATTGGATGCAGAAATTTCAGAGGTAAGGTTGCAGTTTGAAATCCCATAAGTGCTAGTGAGAGCTCTGCAGTTGTGTTGTTGATTGCTGCACTCCCATTTGGATTGAGGCTAGATCCCTAATCTGCATTCCATATGAAACTCAGCCAGTAGAAATATTCTATTTGACATGGGAGGATTTTGGATGAGGCCTTATTTGATAATCTCGTTGGACTTTGCAGCAAGGCAAAATGACCCTGGTTCAAGTGTCTTTCAGTGTGTGTCTAATTCTGAAAAAATAAATCAGTTTTGAGTTATCCATTAACTAACTCAAATATAAAAGGATATTAAGATGAAAAGTAATGTTAAAGCAGAGTGAGTGTTGAAAACCAAACTCTAAAAGCCTGATCTCTGGAATGCAGAAAGCCTTATGCAGGGAAAGCTTTTCATGGTGAGCCTGGCCCTTGGTGTGCTGCCTCCAGAAGGGAGACTGGAGTATGTTAGTGTTATGAAGGTGGAAGTTGCTTGCAGTGAAATGGAGGTGCCAGTTTCTGTGACTAAGAGAAGTGACCACTGAGCAAAACTACACATCTTTTCTGGAAATTCCTGTTCAGCTCAAAGGATCGTTTTTGGATTTGAATGACAAGTCTGTCAAAGTTCACAGTTCATGAAGTTAACAGTGGCTCATTGGCTCTGAGTCAGCATTTCAACAACCAGCCATTTAAAATGTCCTGTGTTGATAGCTTATAGGCACAACAATAAATACAGTTGCAATTCAGTCCAATTAAAGTAATAAAAATGAGAATACAGGACTTTGTTTCATCCTCATAGGATGAGTGGAGAGCAGGGATAGAAAGTTGCTTTGCAACACTTTTGTCTCTGTTCTCCAACCAGCCCTGATGCAGCACCTTGCACTTGGTTTTGTTGCAGCTCATGAGGTTCCCATGGGTTCACTTCTCAATGTCCTTGTCCAGGTGCAGCAGTTAATGAGTGAACTCTATGCAAGGCAATTTTGAACTTAAAGTTGAAAAACTAAGAACAGATTATAGTGGGCACTCCAGTGTTTTAAGAGATTTTGTTGTTCTGTGATAATTAACTGTCTTTGGGCATTCAGGTGATCCAGTCTGGTGATGTAAATGCCCCATTAAAGATATTTAAGGGCCTACAGTGAAGTGTGTAAGAGCAAATAGCTAAGTGCATTTATGTCTCTGGCTGAGAACTCCGTGTAACTATAGTGGTAATTATGTGTTGTTGAGATGAAAGTGAATTTGGTCCAATGTTTTTGTTTAATTTTATTGAGTAATGAATAAATGGTTATGGCTATTGTGTTGCTAAAAATAGAGTCTATAGTGGTGAATGGTTGCTGAACTCTAGTGTACATTCCTTTTCAACCCTGCATAAATGAGTACAGCATATTCTAGTTTATTTAGTGATGGACAGGCTGTTAGTTCTTAAAATAGCTAAGGAGTGGGAACCCAACACCTTGAATGATTTATATGTTTTCTTTGTAAACTTGTTTCTGTTTTGTAACCTTTAAAATGTGGGTTTTATGAGTGGTATCATTAAAATTTATACTCCCTCTAGTATGTGATGTTAGTCATTATTGCTCTGCTGTGCCTCCAGATCACCTGTCTGAATTATAAAACAACCTTCCTTGGAGCTAAATAGTAATTTTTTTCCAAATGTGTGTTGACTTCATTATTTTTCATTGGTGCTCCCTTACTGGAGCACAGGCCAAAACTGACCTTTTCTGCTTTCCATCCAAATGTGAGAGGTTGCTAGGAGTAACTGTATATTTCTAGGAAGGAAATATGAGGGGTCTTTTAACTTAGGAGATTTGATCTCAATCAGAAGAAACTGCCAGAGAATTTGTTTTAAAGCGTACTCTGGTTTTTTTGGTTAACTGAGATTGATATGCTCAGTAAGTGATTTAATGTTGTGCTGGGCTTTGTGACGCTAATTTAAAAGTGTTTCAGCGAAGAGTGAACCTTCAGTGAGAGAAAAAAGAAAAGCTAATACAGAAAGTGGATTACAGTCCTTGTTTCTATCAATTGAGACACTTTGAAAGATCATACACACCAGGAAGGATATTGCAGACAATTTCAAAGTTACACCTTTAATCTGCATCCTTAACTTGAAGATGCCCAAAAGATTTCTTCTAGGAAACTCCACAATACTCTGAAGAATTGTGTTTTTTAAACAAATTAATCAAATGGAAAATGGAAGTTTTGCTTGAGCTGTGGATTACTGCCCTGGTTCTCTGAAGGCTGTCAGGCAAACTGCTCTGTAACTCATGAAGATGATCCATCTCTCTCTCTCCTTTTTTTCAAGCAATGAATGATCTTTATTCATGGTTTATGTAGACAGATTGTCGAGCAGATTGTGGCATAGACTAATTCATTGCAGACTCCTCAAATGTGACTTACTAGCCAGCTTTAATACAGAGGTGAGATGGAGTTGTTTTCTGACCAATATTAGTGCAGATGTTTGAGTTTTTTCAAACTAAGCTTGTTTACCTAGAAATCAGATTGAGTCCAACCATTAAACCAGCACGGCCCAGTCCTCCACTGCTCCATGTCCCCAGGTGCCACATCTACATGTCTTTTAAATACCTCTTGGCAGGGTGATTCAGCCTGGGCAGCCTGTGCCAGGGCTTGACAGACCTCTTGGTGAATTTTTTTTCCATAATATCCAATCTAAACCTCCCCCGGCACAACTTGAGGCAGTTTCCTCTTGTCCTTTTGCTTGTTACTAGGGAGAAGAGACTTGATCCCCACCTGGCTACAGCCTCCTTTCAGGTAGTTGCAGAGAGTGATAAGTTCTCCCCTGAGCCTCCTTTTCTCGAGACTAAACCAACCCCAGCTCCCTTGGCTGCTCCTCATAGGACTTGTTCTCTCGTCCCTTCACCAGCTTCATTGCTGAGAAGAGGATTGCATGCAAAAGAGATGGGATTCAGGTTTCTCTTAGCAATGCCAGTATGAGAGGTTTGGAGATTTTTTTATTTTTTTTTTGTGTCTATGTGTTTGGTTTGTTTTGGTTTTTTTTACAAAAAACTTCCTGTTGTAATACAAATGTTTTACTGATGTTAACAGAGGATAAAATACTAATTTCAGTGCAGCCTGAGGCTACCATGATATATGCAGTGCTGTCATCTAGTTCCATTGAAAGATATGTGATATAGTACTAGAAAACAAGTTTGGACAACAAAAAAATGTGTTATTGTTGGAAAATGTGAGAATGAAATATCTCAGATTAGAGTAAGTGCACTAAAGCATTAGATCCTCAAGCCAGTGGTCTTTTCCTGAAATACTTGGTATCATGCTGCACATCGTTAGTTATTAAAATTCCTTGTCTGCTTCTTTTCCCAGAATGATCATTCTCTCAATATTTGCGAGGCAAGTTTCCTGTCATGTTACAAATTTCCCTATTTACTTTTGTAATAAAGAAAATGTGAGCATCCGAGGTTCCTGCATTGAACATTTTTAAGCAGCATAAGAGCTGGAAGGGAAGCTTTGTGGGCTTGAGCTCCTAATATCAGTTAAGGTGTATTTTAAGTCTTGTCCTCTCACCACACACTGCAACTAGACTTTGATTAAAGTAATACTATCAGGTTGAAGTTTTATTTTCTCTGTGGTACTTATGCGTATTTAAAATCGTGAGCAGACTCCATACATAAATGTCAGTGAGATGGTGATGGAGGTGTAGGAAGAAGAGCTGTGATGCTGATTAGAGGAGGCTGACTTGAGTTTTTCATAGGGTTAATGCTTTCCAAATTGGAGGATGCAAGATTGAAAGTGAAGGGCACACTCCTTGTTGAGGAAAAGTGGTGGAGTGATCCTGATGCAGAATCTCATTAAAGCAACTGTCAGGATTCCTCTCTTTTACCATCACCTCCCCTATTCTATAAGAGTCAGCTGTCGTTTGGAGTGAGCACACTGCCAAAGATGCATTTACAAATAAATGAAAAATGTCACAATTGATTTTGCTCCTTTCAGGGGACTCTGTGTCAGCTTTGTCACAAACCCTTTGTTATTCTCTCTTTTAGATCTCTTGTCTGGACTTTGGAAATAACTTTGGATGGTTCTGGGATTCTTTCTGTTGACCCAGGGTAAGCTCCCTGGATTATGACTTTTTATTAACATTTGTGCAACAGTTAAATAACATTGACTTTTCAGTGCTTATGAAGGATGAAATGCTAGAAATTCTTACCAATTACCTGATGAGCGTGTATGGGAGCTGTATAGTACAATCCATGCTTGAGAATGCCACTAACAAAATGGATTTATTTCCTAGTTTCTTCTACAGAAATATTTGTGCATTATGGTAATTACTTTGCAAAATGTTTCATGCAGCAGTACTAGCCACATAAAATATGAATAGCTGTGTGGTTTTATTTGTTTCTAAAGAATAGTTCTAAGTTTGATAGTTTTCCTCAATATAATTTCTCACTTTTTCACTGTATGTTATATGGTTATTATAGTGGATATTGCTGCTTGTAAGCAAATCAAAAGTTAAGTTATTTTTCTTATGTATTTGCTGGCTGGGCAAGTGAACCTAATGCACCATATCAGTCTACTCCTTTTAATGCAAAAGTATTAGCACAAGAATGGGTATCCGTTGAAATGTCATTTTAAGTAATGCTCAAGATGGTTTAGATACAGCAAAGCATCTAAACTACAGTCACATCTAATAAAAATGTCTTATTTCCTCCTTGAACTTCAGGTTTTGAGATTGCAATCAAAAATACAGAGTGTTTTACTAAAGCTTCTGTGGAAGAAACTTCATTAACTTCTCTAGAAATACTCGTGATCCTTTAAATATGAGCTGAAGTTGAAGACAGGCCTAGTGCTACATCTGATTTTTGTTTGTTTTGTGTTTGATGTCTGACAAGTGTAACCTACAAATAGCAGTAGAACGGGAGTTTACCACTTTCCCCTAAAAGAAATGAGTTCACACCATACAGAAAGAATTGCTTTGTGTTGTTTTGTCTATTTCTGAAGGGATTCTTCAATAATGATTCCCACACATTTTGCAATCTGGCAAACAGCACAAAGTTTCTATTTCAGTGCACGTTATGTTTTGTCACAGCATATCCTAAAACCTTGCTGTGTTTTATCACTGTTGCTAACAACAGATTTTTAAAAACAGAAGAACTGAAGAAAATCACTTTGTTGTCCCTTTTGTACTCTGGAAACTGCTAGGAAATTGGGGAAGGAATTGGACTCTTCAAGGGAAAATAAGAACAATTTACAGTGTCACCTGCCTTATATGGAGGTTTTGTTTCTGTTCATCATTTATTTGGGATTATAATGTAGCCTGATTAGCTCTACTAATTTTTTTGCATTGGTGTATGAATGTTTGTTACCTGTTTAAGCATTTTTAATGCATCACAGTTCATAGCTGGTTTTTACAGTTCTGGTATACCTTTGACTTAATTAAAATTAAATGTGTTGAGTTTGTTTTAAAACAAATTTTAAAATTAATATTTAAAATAACTGTTAAATTTCCTGAAAGTTTAGAATTTTAATTTTTGTTCTTTTTAACTAGAAATCAAAATTTTGTTATCTAGAACTTCCAAAGAACACCTTCAATTTGTACTTTGGATGCTGTTTTGTTTACGTATTAGTAGAAACTTTGGGACAAAGCTCTCTAAGGCAATCTCTAATACTGTGTTGTCAGCAGTGGGCTACCCAATCTTACTTTTCTTCTGTTTGCATTAGAAGAAAATCTGAGGTGTGAATCTACAAAGTCAGAAAATGAATTCTGGCAGTGTGAAAACTGATGACAATTTCAAGGAAGGAACCAGACAGTCCAAGGCTGTTATTTGTGTAACTAATTAATAATACTGTAAACAGAGATGGAAGGAAGGAAAACTAGGATGAAATAAAAGTAGAATTCTGTGCTATTAGGTCTATGCAGTCCCCAAACTCCACCCTCCCATTCCACTTTTACTTATATAGTAAATTGTTTTGAGGTAAATCTAAATAGAAATCTGTAGCATTTCACATCTAAATAGGGCATGAACTTAGGAGTAAAACAGTGCTGCAAAGGCCAATCTAGAACACTTCTGAAATGCCTGGAGACAAAAATATGTTTAACATGACTTGGCAGATTTACAGAAGCTTAGACTTTTGCTCACTGAATTTCCCAACCAAGTTTGATAATGTTACTGATGTTGATTTGTCCCAGCTTGTTCTAAAGAGATGGGCATACTCTGATCCATAGTAATGCATGTTTAAATCTCTGTGTGCCAGCTGACTGCATATACGGGAATTAATTCCATATATTGGTCTGCATCATGAGATTTCTCTGAAATGCTGGATGTCCCTACAAGCGATGGATGAAATGTGCTGGCTGGCAAAATCACCACGAGTTAGAATACAACTTTAGTGGGAGATTGTTTAAGATTTCCATCCAGCAAATAGCAAACACAGATTAATTAAGAAAGGAGAAACATGTGAACACCACCACTGCTTATTTAGTTGACTAAGGAACTTGCAAATAGGGAATGAGCCTAGGAAGAACCAGAGGGGTTTGCTCTCATGAGAACCCTTCCTGGAAGTGGGCCAGAGACAGTGCTGTGCCACTAATACAGGTTTCCAGTAAAGGAGCAAAGGAATAGGGAGGTGAACTAAGAGCTGTATCTTTCTGCATCAGTTTCTGTTCTTAAACTGTAAGTGAAAATGTTTCATTTTAACTGATTGTGGTTCATCCTGTTTCGTTCCTCCCCAAGTAATTAGACTTTGATACTTATTATGACAGTTGTTTAGCTTTTGAACCCAGAATATTCCTGCAACCTGTTTTCATACACAGATGTCTCTCTTCCCTTTCAAATAATAAAGGTGCTGTATCTCTAAGTCATGGGGACATGCTGGTCTCATATTTAACTGGATGAATCACAGACCTTTCCCAGTGCCCAAATATATGACTCTTCCTGGAACAAGATGGCTTTTCTATATGTGAAGAAAATGTGATTGTGGTAGGGGGAGGAGGGCAGGAGAAGTAAGGGACGATAACCTGGTAAATTAGGGAAAGATAAGATTTGGAGGAGTTCTCATTCATGAGTGTGTCAGTTAAGTTATTACAATTATTTAGGTTATTACAATTTATTATAATTTTTTACTTTTAGAAGGTGCATTTAAAATCCTGAAGATCATTCCTCTTTAAAATCATGCTCAGCACCTCTTCTGACTTGCACCGAATTATTCCTTAAGTTTCTATGTTATTCCATTGACTTCAGGAAGGTCACTCATGGAAAAAAGAAATTGTTACTCCTCTGTTTGTAGCAGAAAGGACACATAAAGAAGACAATACTAACGAACAATTTGCAGCTCCTCATTGCCATGGCTGAACGAGTTGGTTTTAGATAATTTGCTATTCAGACAGGAATAATGAGGTAAAATGCGATTTGCTTGTTTTCTTTGTCGGTGGTCAAGCCTGAACCACTTAATTTTAGGAGGTGGGACAGGGCAAAGAAAATTGCTAATCACTTGGTTAATTGATCATTCTCTCACGATTGCCTCTGACTGTAATGTGTTAATGATGGTCTGAGAGATTAACTGCCAGAAAAATCACTGAAACTGTACAGGAACATACAGTGAAGTAGCTTAATGGTGAAATGGTTCAATTGCTGCCAACTCAGCAGAGCAAAGGCAGGGGAGGAAGCTCAGGTGTTGAACCCCAGAAACCTGAGTCTTTAGTCAAAACAGTGACTCGAAATGCATGTGTTGTGATCATCTGTGCGTGGTCTATTTGAGGGTGCAGGGAAGTCTCTTTGACTACATTTCCTCGAGTCATTATTTTAGCAAAAGCGTCTTGAGAATATTTTCAGCACTGAAAAGCATTAGCAGGACCTAATGCATTTTCATTTTTCTCTATGAAATGGTAGTATTTGTTTAAGCAACAAATAATTATAATTGCAAGTGGGGTTGCTTTTTAAATTTTTGCATTTCCTAGAACAAAATTGTTTGAAATTCCATTCAGAATCGGTTCCCAAATTCATATAGCCTCATATAGAGTGGAATTATGTAAGAAAATCAATCAATTGCCATTGAGTTACTATATTGACTATATTTGATAGGCATTTGAAAATTATAGCTATAATTTGAGTGCTGAATACAATTCCTGTGAGCCTTCTGTAGCTCTAGAAACAGGTTATGCAAACTTGTCACTGACTCCAGTGGTCTCCAGTACAGCAAAGATTTCACACAAAGTCTTCATATAAGGGGAACAAATACAGCCTTTCATCCCCCATGTGTTGTTAGGGGTATTCCCTTATTTTCCACTGTGTTGGGGAAGAATTTGGCTCAATGTTCTTGAATTAAGTATAGAGACATAATTAAGATGTTAACATTAGTAAAAGCTTGACTCGCATGCAGGAGGTAGATTGTGACAGCCTGCTATGCCACACTAAAATGACACATAAGTAGAGCAATGTTTTCATCAACATAAGTGTGTTTTTGTTTAAAGTCGATTCTCTCTATAGGGTGCCATAAAATAATTAGGAGCCCATAACATAATCCTTCAGTATTGCATTAATTCCTTAGAGGGACAAATTCACCTTTTCTGACTACAGCAGTGCACAACTGACCATGGAAAAACTAAACTGTAAAATCATCTGTAAAAAAAGAATAGTTTTTCTAGACTAGCATATTTATTTTGCAAAACTCCTAAAAGGCTTGTACTTCTAGTGATTTTTGCTTGTGGCAAACTGGAAGTGAAAGTATTTATCTTAAAATTAAAAATCGACACAGAATGCTGTGTTCTTTGCCTTGAAGGAAACTGCATGTAAAATATTTGTCTCCTGTGAGGACTGAAGACTATTAGAAGGGCTGTGCCAAGACAACAAGAATCTCTTTTGTTACAGATGGTGTAAACTAGTACAGCGATGGCCCCATACTGTAAATTTTAAGGATGACAATTTTGAGCAGGTTTTTTTTCCCAGCAGTGGATGGAGAGTTGGGATTATATAGCGAGACAGTGTTACAAGTTAGCCTTGGTTGGGTTTTTCTTGGATTTTTATTTTTATTTGTTAACTGACACAGGCTCTAAGCATGAGTTTGTGTTGGCTGGAAGGGGGGGGACATTGCCCATGGCTGCTCTGATGGA